GAGAACAGTGTATAGTTCATTGTCAGGAAATAAGCAGAGTTACAGTTGAACTTTGTTGAAAAGTTAAAAAAAAGTGGAAATGAGAAAATGTTTTAAGCTGTAAGATAGCATGTGCGTATAAACTAGTATTATTTGTAGGAAAATATGCCAAATAGAATAAAGTATAGGCTTCCTCAGTGGGACACTGGATTTTCAGATTGCATCTAAAATGTTGTCCTTGATGAACTTTCCACGTTATCCCTTTTTTTTTTTTTTAAGATGGAGTCTTACTCTGTTGCCAGGCTGGAGTGCAGTGGTGTGATCTCGGCTCACTGCAACCTCTGCCTCCCAGGTTCAAGCGATTCTCCTGCCTCAGCCTCCCGAGTAGCTGGGACTACAGGAACGTGCCACCACATCCCGCTAATTTTTGTATTTTTAGTAGAGACAGGGTTTCACCATGTTGGCCAGGATGGCCTCTATCTCTTGACCTCATGATCCACCTGCCTCGGCCTCCCAAAGTGCTGGGATTACAGGCGTGAGCCACCACACCCAGCAGTTATCCCATGTTTTAATGTGTGCCATGGGATTGTGGTAGTCTCTAATTGGACAAGTTGCTTAGGTTGAGGTGTTTGCAGGAAGACCTGAGGTGCTGTAACTATCAATTCATACCCTTCTAGATATTTCTCACTCCCTTCCTTATGGATTTTGTATTTTGCAGAATCAAAAATGGTTACATCTTTATTTTTAAGCAGGAGCATGTTTGGCATTGTACAAAGCATACATCATAGCAAGAAACCTGTATCACCATCTGCTGTGACAAGTTTTGAAGAGGATTCACTCTGGTTTGAATTTTATAGGCTTTCCTGTTGAGTACACCAGAGATGAATGCTCATGGTATTATACAGAGGATTAGAACTGCACTTTCTTCTTAATGAAGGTGAATATAAACAAGGGCTTGGATTCTGCCCCTTTGAAGAAAGCTGACCCTTACCTATTGTCTGAGTCTTTCTGTAGCCTCTCAAGTTCTCTCTTCATTATGGAATATGAAAGCACAGGGCTGGCTGTGGGGGGTCAAGACCCAAAGTCTGATTAGACAGGAGGGAATGTGGAAGGCAGCAGGTGGAATTTTCTAAGAAGTCAGTATCGGTGGAGAGAAAAGGCAGGTTATCATAGGTCTTGGTAGGCACAGGTCTGGGCATTAAGAGCCTTTATTAGCCTGCAGTGTGGTCAGCCGAAGGGAGGACAGAGTCAGGGACCGTAGATGCAGATAGGAGGCAGAGTTGGTGCAGGAGTGGCCCTAGGAAACAGGAGAGATTCCCGTTTTCATCCACCCCTCCCTGTGCTTCAGGAGGGTTCGCGGGAACATGTGTGTGGCTGCAGGCTGACAGAACCTGCAAGCAGGTTACTGCTGGTTAAATCAGAGATGGAGGGCTAGACCTTCTGGAAATTTTTAATAGTATCCATCTCTCATTTTTCCCTTGGATTTTGACAATCCTGCAAAGGCAACTTTACTGAATTTATAGTGTTCTTGTCTCTGCCTTTCTTTCTGTTTTCAGCCCAGCTGAGATTTCCTTTTTAGAAAAGGACTCTTTAAAACTGCCACTATCTTCTCCTGTTTACCTTCTGAAGAACTTCAACTTATGGGGAATTCCTGTGGGTTTTGTGTTACATCTGGAGCCATTAAGTAATTAACTGGGACAGAGTCACTAACAGTTGTGTAATCACAGACTCTTAAAGCCACGAGGTGCCTTAGAAGTTACCTAGTCTAGCCCTGGTCAGTTCAGTAAATGAAAGCCATTGCTGTGGCTCCTGGGGAAGGACTCTGAAAACTGAGCCCAAATCAGCCAGGATTTTAAGTTTTAACAGCCACTGTTGAGTTTTGATGATCTCATGCCTTCATATATACCTAGTTACCTTTTTGTTTTTCTCCTGACTACATGATGTGTTTGATTCAGTAGACCTAGGTAATACACTAGGGGAAAAATGGAGACAGAAAAGTCAAATTCTGCTGTCCTGTAGATCAGCTGGTATGTGAGGACTCGCCCACACACATTCATTTCTTCCTTAAGAAAATAATTTCGTGCCGAGCACAGTGGCTCACACCTGTAATCCCAGCACTTTGGGAGGCCGAGGCGGGCGGATCACAAGGTCAGGAGATCGAGACCTTCCTGGCTAACATGGTGAAACCCATCTCTACTAAAAATACAAAAAGTAAGCTGGGCGAGGTGGCGGGCGCCTGTAGTCCCAGCTACTCAGGAGGCTGAGACAGAGAATCACTTAAACCCGGGAGGCGGAGCTTGCAGTGAGCCGAGGTCATGCCACTGCACTCCAGCCTGGGCGACAGCGAGACTCCGTCTCAAAAAAAACAAAAAAACAACAAAAAAAGAAAATAATTTCGTAACTTGTATCATGTTCTTCCATCCTCTACAGAGGAATCGTGGAAGCTCAACTTCTGACCTAAAAAAAGATGCAGTGAATTTCTTTTTTTGAGTCAGTGACTGTTTTTTTTTTTTTTTTTTTTTGAGACAGAGTCTTGCTCTGTAGCCCGGGCTGGAGTGCAGTGGCCGGATCTCAGCTCACTGCAAGCTCCACCTCCCGGGTTTGCGCCATTCTCCTGCCTCAGCCTCCGGAGTAGCTGGGACTACAGGCGCCCGCCACCTCGCCCGGCTAGTTTTTTGTATTTTTAGTAGAGACGGGGTTTCACCGCGTTAGCCAGGATGGTCTCGATCTCCTGACCTCGTGATCCGCCCGTCTCGGCCTCCCAAAGTGCTGGGATTACAGGCTTGAGCCACCGCGCCCGGCCAGACTGTTTTTTTTTTTTTGAGATGGAGTCTCGCTCTGTCGCTCAGGCTGGAGTGCAGTGGCGCGATCTCGGCTCACTGAAAGCTCTGCCTCCCGGGTTCACGCAATTCTTCTGCCTCAGCCTCCAGAATAACTGGGACTACAGGCGCCCGCCACCACACCCAGCTAATTTTTTTTTTGTATTTTTAGTAGAGATGAGGTTTCACTGTGTTAGCCAGGAAGGTCTCGATCTCCTGACCTCGTGATCTGCCCGCCTCGGCCTCCCGAAGTGCTGGGATTACAGGCGTGAGCCACCACACCCGGCCTACTCAGTGACTATTGACGCCTTTCCTTCTGGTGTCTAAAGCCTCTTTCCCTTTGTATTTTCTGTGAAGAGTCAGGATTCTGAGTCGCAGAATTCAAACGAGAGACCACATATGAAATCACAGCAGAATGGGTGTAGTTACGACAGGCACCTCATGGGCATTAGAACAGCATCCAAGGATGTTTCTTCTATAATAGAAATATTGGGCCAGTCTGAGCAAATGGTAAGTGGCTGGGGGCATTTCTGTATTTTCTTTGAATAAAAACTTCAACATCAAATTTTGGGTTAGTTGTGGATCCAGATACACAGATAGGCAGAAAAGGAAGAGTCCAAGCCTCCCCCACTCTCCTTCCACAGTCCTTGCTTTGAAAGGTGATTCCTGCTAGCAGTTTCAGGTACGTCCTTCTCAGAAGCTCCCTGTGTATTTAGCAAGCATAGGTGTTGCTTGTGAGAAGGTGTTCTGTGCCATCCTGTTTCACCAGATGTGTCTTAGAGATCTTTTCATATTGGCATTTACAAATCACCTCATTCTTTTAAATTACCAAATAGTGCTTAGGTAGTTTAAAATTTTTGGAATTTGGGGCGCATAGCCATTCTTAAATGGAATTTAAGAATCAAATTCCTAAGTTTGATTCAAATCAAATCAAAAGGTATGTGCTGTTTATGTTTTGCTCGTGCCAAAGGTCGTACCAGTTTACACTCTCCCAGCAGCACGGGAGACTACCTGTGTAGCCCACTCCTCTGACTCCTCTGACAGTATTTTGTGTCATCTGGCATTCTGATTCCTGCCAGACTAATGGAAAATGGTATGTTATTCGTGTTTTAATTTGCATTGAACACATAGTGACTGTGAGCATCTTTTTCTGTGTGACCATTTGTATTTCTCTTTTTGTAATCTGCCTTTTATATCCTTTGCTCATTGTATTCATCTTTGTTTTACTAATTTTTATGCTGCTTTCTTTGTGACTTAAAGAAGTTAACCCTAGCCAGGTGTGGTGGCACACGGATAGTCCCAGCTATTCTGGAGGCTGAGATGGGAGTATCGCTTGAGGCCAGGAGTCTGAGGCTGCAGTGAGCTATGATCACACCACTGCACTCCAGCCTGGGTACAGAGTGAGACCTTCTCTCTAAAAATAATAAGTTAATTAATTTTTTTAAAAGATATTAACCCTTTGTCATATGTTTTGTGAATTTATTGTCTTAGTTGTTTACCTTTTGGCTTATGGGATATTATTTTTCACTCAGAAGCTTTTCATTTTCATGTCGCAAATGAACAGACTCACCGATATTATGCTCTATTCTAGAATTATTCAGGTTTTATTTTACATTAACATCTTTGATTAAGCTAGAATTCATTTCAGCTTAGTTTTATCCCAAATGGCTGGCTGGCTATTTATTTGCCCAGCACCCTTGACTGAATAATCCTATTTTTCTTTACCGATTCAAAGTGCTACCTGTGTGTTTCAGTATTTCTTGAGTTTGTTTTCTGGTCTTTTTCTTCTCCTGCAGTTTCAATTACCGAAGCCTCACGTGCTTTAATCTCTGGTAGCTGCACCCTCACATTACCCTTTCTCCCCTTCATGTTTTTCTGACTATCCTCATATATATGTTTTCCCATGTGAAGTTTAATATCCTTTTTATTATACTTCTGTAAACATCATGTTGGTAATGTAAATAATTTTTTTTGAGACAGAGTTTCACTGTCATTGCCCAGGCTGGAGTGCAATGGCACGGTCTTGGCTCACTGCAACCTCTGCGTCCTGGGTTCAAGTGATTCTTCTGCCTCAGCCTCCCAAGTAGCTGGGATTACAGGCATGTGCCACCACACCCGGCTAATTTTGTAGTTTTAGAAGAGATGGGGTTTCACCATGTTGGTCAGGCTGGTCTTGAACTCCTGACCTCAGGTGATCTGCCCACCTCGACCTCCCAAAGTGTTGGAATTACAGGCATGAGCCACCACGCCTGGCGTAAATAATATTTTTAAGCATCGTGGTATATGTACGAGAACTTTCATTATTGGGGTCTTTCTACCTTTGCTGAGGTCCCCTTTGTTTTCCATGTTTCTTTTTCCTGTCTAGGGAGGCTGGCCCTGCTGCAGGAGCTAGCCTGGCCTGGGGAGGATTTACCAGTGTTTGGGGTAAAATAGAGTTTGTCCAGAGAAACCAACTATATCTTGCCATCTAGAGGTGGGCATCCGTTTGTCATGGAGGGAGGCCATAGGACACCTTCATGATATCAGGGACTCACTGCTCTCTTCACGGGTCAGCACCTCTTGAGCTAGTTCTGGAGCAGGTGTGCTGACCTGGATCTCAAAGGTGCAGAGCTTGGCCTGCCTTCTGCTCCTCCTCTTGGTTCTCCTTAGCTGCCCCTGCCACAGGTCTCGACCTCTTTCTTCCTCCTAAAGTTCTGCCCGCTGCATGGGCAGGAGATAGGGGACGGTCCAAGAGCAGCCTCATGACAGCAGCCGAGACGGAGAAGAAGCCTGCCCTCCTAGCACACTGAGTTGGCACCGGAAGAATGCACTGGCCAGGAGGCTTGGGCCGGCCGTGCCTGTACCAGCCTCGCCCTGCTGGTAGGTGGAGGCAGGGGGCCAGTACCGCGGGCCTGCCCGTGACTTGGAAGGCTGGTGCCCTCATCAGCTCCTTCTTACACTTCTCCCAAACTTTTGCACACCCGGACTCTGGGAAACTCTGGTAAGGGTGATGTCTGGAACAGGGAGCCGGTTTGTTCCTATTCTGAGGTGAAGGTAGAAATGACCTCCCTCTCAAGAGATCTTCAGGCCCTTCTCAGAGCAGGAACAGGTGCCAGTTTTTGCTTCTTTGAACAAGAATTTTATGCTCTTAGCGTTTACTAAAGAATAATGAGACATTTTTAAGTATAGGGAGTGGAACAGAGTTTAAAGAAAAAAATCAAATAACTCCAGGCCTCTGTTTTCATGGGACACAGAAGGAGGGGAGATTGAGAATCCTGACTCGCCTAAGAGCTTTATGCTTATCATGTCTGTGGTGCTTGGAGCCTGTGGCCCAGGTGATTTGGGGTTTGGGGACGCCTCATGGGCAGAGAGGACCTTTGAGCAGCATTGTGAATTCGTGGGTTTGGGATGCTGATGAAACTGTTGAGATTTGAATGTATTCCTTGTGCCTCATTTTCCGCTTTAGAAATAAAGCAATTGGTGCACATTTCCCTTGCACACTTGTCAGAGGGTCGCTTTCTGGTTCCAGCTGTCCTTGCACCTGAGACACAGAACTGGAAAGAGGATGGGAAGTCAGTAGCGGTTTGGGGAATTAGTGCTGGATAAGGATGGTAGTTGAAGCTGTGAGCTGGAGTAGGGCGAGGAAATACTTCTTTGCTACCACTTCTGAATGGAAGTGCAGACCGCGGTGCAGTGAAGACTACTGCAAAGCTTCCAGTTCCTTTTCTTTCTCATGGCGCCTAGCTGCCGCTTCTTGCTCTTCCAGGAGAATTTCTTTCTTTATCTCTTGTCCCAGACTCAACAACAGAATAGAATCCAGCTGTCTCAGTGTCAAATTCAAAGGCACCACAGTCTGCCTGGAGCTTGCTTTTCCAGCCTCTGTCCCTTGTGCCGCCCTTTCCACCTGTCTGGACTGCCCTCTCCCAGGCTCTCGCGTGGAGCCGTCTTGGACTAACCTGGGCCCTGCTCTTCTCTGACCCCCACTCTGCATAGCGCCTTGCAGACAGCATTTATTTGGCATTTACGGGCTGCCCGTTTCTTTTTTCTTTAAAAAGAATAGTAACACATGAGCTCTTTGAGGGCCGAAACCATGTCTTTCCAGCATTGTGTCTTCCACAGTAACTGACAGGGGGCCTGGTTTCCATGCAGTGAACTTTTAAAAAAATTGTTGAATTATGAGTCTGAGAAATTATTTTTTAAAACGTTCATTTTCTCTGTTGGGATTCCTGAGATGCCTGTTCTGTGGCCAGTCGTTTCCTGTGATTCTCTCTGATGGCTGTGGTTTGTTTTATAAGCTGGATTGTGCGGAGTATATATTGTGGCATCTGTTTTCTTCAGATATGAGGAGGGCCACACTGCATACTTCTTGGTTGCAGCTTTTTTTGTAACTTCGTTGTAGGCTGACATCCTTTTCTCATGTTGTCTGTGCCTAGAATTAACTGAAAGTGCAGGTTTTTGCCACCTGCAGTCTCTGGCCTGGGTCAAGCTAAAGCCTTTGCCTAGGTTCACACACTGCAGGTAAACCCCGGCTGTGATCCACTCTGTCGGCGTAGTGGAAGCTGGCCGTGTTAAAGGGAGAGCCATAGTGAGCCTGGCACATGATGACTGAGCCTTCTGTAGAGAGTGACGGGTCAGAACTCACCTGCTGGGCTCTTTCAGTCCCCGAAGAGAGTGTGTATGTGTGTATGTGTATCTGTGTAAAAACCAGTGATGTCACCTCAAAATAAGACAGCCCTTAGGACTATGAAAAGTGCTATGAGAATATTTACAGTACAAGATATTACTGAAAAGCAAGAGCTTAATTCCACATACATGTGAAATCCCTGAGAAACATGGTAGTAGATAACCAGCATGGATAGTCCAGGCTGTCTTCTCCGAGTGTGTTTGTATCATGTAATTTATCACCTGGTTATTTACCAAGTGATAAAGAAGGTCATCAGGTGATGGTTAATACGTTTGAACTGAGCAGGGAGCATGGCTAGAGGAATCGGAGTTCTCCCTGTAGGAGGTAAGACTCGATGGATGGCGAGGATGAGCTTCTGAACAAGAAGAAGGAAGCAAAGAGACATAACTGAGCACTCTAGTGGATCCAGGGAAAGTGGAGTCTTCCTTGGACCAGGAGGAGAGGTGGGATGGCTTACTAGACAGCGAGCAGGAGGAAGACGGGGGCCCAGGGACATGTTGCACTGGGACTCTCAATCTACATTTTGTAGAATTTTAGAATTTGTTTTTCATGGACTTAGTATGTTTCTTTTAAATGAGTACTACTCTCTTGACACTAAAAGAAAATTGTCCACACTATGGCTGTTTCTTAAAAGACAGGCTGCAACGCAGAGCCAGGGTATTTGGGTCAGGCCTGGTGGCACTGCCTGGTGATGAGGACGTCTGTCCGCATTCCCCAGCCAGCCCAACCCCCATGCATGGCAGTGGAGGCAGGGCTTGCAGAGGGGTGGGTGCCTTCCACGACGATTTCCTAATGGCAGGAGACTGGAAAGGAGGGAGCGTATGGGAGTGTTTTTAGGATTCCCACTCCCTCTCCCATTGTTTATCTAGAGCAATGATTCTTAACCAGGGCAGTTTTGCCCCACGGGGGACATTCAGCAATGCCTGGAGACCTTTTTGGTTGTCACACCTGGTTGTGGGGAAGCGGGATGGGGGTGCTGCTGGCACCTAGTGGGTAGAGGCCAGGGACACAGCTAAGAACCCTGCAATGCACAGGGAAGCCCTGCCACAAAGAGTGACCTGCTCCCTATGCCAGTGATGCCCAGACTGAGGAAGCCCGCTCTAGCACAGTGTTTCCCTTTTACTTTCTAGTTGTTTAAAAAATACCTCCTCCCTTCTTAGTCAAAAGCTGTGTGTGGTCTGCAGTAACCTTGTATTCTGTGTCACTTAGGGGCCTGGGTCTCTGGAGTTCATGGTTTTGGGACTGGGGTCCCAAATCCACATGTTTAACAAGCGCCCTTGGTGATTCTCGTGCCCTCTGAGGTTTGAGAGCTGCTATCCTCAGGCTGTAGCCATATTTCTTGTCACCAGCCATCTTGTATTATCATCCCCAAGTTTCACTTGCCTAATATTCCAACCCGATATTAGGCAAGTGTCCTCAAAGGCGATGCAGCAGCCTCTGGTGAAGAAAGAACCATTGGTGGCTGCAAGTGCACTGGGTAGGAGGCGAGTCCTTCTTGGTAAAAAGGCTGGAGTGTCCCTCGTGGAAGTGGAGGGCATGGGATCCCTGGAGGAAGGGAGCAAAAGATACTCCTCCTGAAGCCCCTCCAGGACGGTGCTGGAGCAGTCTGGTCAGTGCCACTGTGCCTGCTGACCTGATGCGGGGCAGTGGGAAGGACTAGGCTTGTGCCTTTAGGGTGACAGAACATCCACCCCTAATCCAGTCTCTTATTTATCCATGCAGTAAGGAGAGGGCATCTGGAGTAAGGCTGGCATTCTTGCAGTGAAAGCAGCATCGGGCTTTTGCTTCTGAGGGAGAGAGGAAAGCAAGTGCAGCCTGTGTGCAAATGCTGGCAGTGCCTCCCCTCCCCCCAGGAGGCCGGGAATGGGGGATAGTAGGAGGGGCTGGCTGTGACTGCATTCATGGAAATGAGCCTGGAGGAGTGGAGCAGCACACACTTGGATCGTCAGCTAGGGCTGCAGCTCTGCGCGTCCATCTCTGCGCTCCGCACCAGCCTTCCCCACCGGGCCCGGCGCCTTTCCACCTGCAGGGCCGGTGCTCTCAGCTTTTGTTTTCTCTGGAAACCTTCTTCTCTGCCCCTGCTGTGCTGGCGCACACATGCTGTCCTTGCTCCGGCTCTCCCTGCACCTACAGCTGTGGGAGCTCCCGGCAGCCTGGGACTGTGGGGTCGCTGCACGGAGCCACCATGGCCTCTGACGCGGAGAGCTGTGACCTGCTGAGGCTTTGATGTTGCTGCCCAGGGCTGGCCAGGACACTGGGGCCGCAGGAGAGGGGACTCACCGTGGGTAAGAGGCTGGTGGATGGCGTGTGGAGCCCCGTCAGCAGATTCCCCATTATGCGTTGCTGCCTGCCTGCCTCTCCCACCCAGCAGCCAGCAGTAGGAGCTGATGTGTGCGTGGCCGTCTCTCTGCATGTCTGTCCTTTGGGTCTGCATTCTGTGCTCTTCTCTGAGGATTTTTCCACTACACCTTTGGATAGGTATCCAGGCATTCAGGGTAGTTTCTTCTAGGCCTGAGACTTAGAAACACGCCAGTAGTCAATTTCCTTGGTCCAGCTTCCATGAGGTTTGAAATAGGGGGGCAGAAAGCAGAGGGACAGATTCAGGGTGATCTCCCCTCTATGCCCGCCATCCACGGAGTTTCTGTTTGACTCATTAAGGACTTGGGAACCTTCCTGGGCACGAGTCGCCCTCTTCCCATCGATACACATAGAAAAGGAGTTGGAATTGTACATCGCATTTAATGTTAGGGGTCCTTGCCAGCTGTCAGACTGAGGGAGAATATTTCAATGTACAGAAAAATCCAGAGCATTACAAAGGGCTAGCAAACAAATAGGTTTTAGGCACTGAGGGTGAAGTGAGAGAGAATTGACTTTCAAGCCACTAAGCCTCTATTTTGGACACGGAAGGGGTGTGGTGGCCCAGCTGTGCAAGCTGGCAGTGGTTGCAGCTGGCAGGCACGGGGAGTGGCAGCTTCGCCCAGGGGACAGGAGCCTGCCCCCTTGGGAGGAGGGGCGAGCAAGCTGATTTGGCTTATTTGGAGGAAGAGGGAACTCCAGGCTTTCCCAGGGGAGTGAAGGAGCACGCCGCTTGGCTCAAGGAGGCTGGGGGTAGAAAATCGTTCTTCCTTGTGGAGCTCTGCGTCCGGTCCCTGGGATCCTTTTGAAACAGCAGTGGAGTGCCAGAAAGAAGCTGCTGGGAAACCCCAGCTATATCAGATGTTGTCACTGTGAGCTTTTAGAAAAGGTTAAGTTTCTTAAAATGGTTGTTTTCTAGTTTGTATCTTTTATTGAAAGCTGATGTTAACTTTATTTTTCTAAACCAAATTCTTAGGATAAAATTTTGTCACTTAGGTTCTGTTACTACCTTGAAATGCAAACTAAGTCTTTGAGTTCTAGGATTTATTAAATTAAAATTTTTGATACCTTTTTTGTTTTTTGAGGTGGAGTTTTGCTTTTGTTGCCCAGGCTGGAGTGCAATGGCACGATCTCGGCTCACTGTAACCTCCGCCTCCCAGGTTCAAGCGATTCTCCTGCCTCAGCCTCCCAGGTAGCTGGGATAACAGGTGTGTGCCACCACGCCTGGCTAATTTTGTCTTTTTTAAGTAGAGACCGAGTTTAAACATGTTGCAGGCTGGTCTCGAACTCCTTACCTCAAGTGATCCACCAGCCTCGGCCTCCCAAAGTGCTGGGATTACAGGTGTGAGCCACTGCACCCAGGCAATACCTTCCTTTTATAAGGTAGTTGAGAAGGACATTCTCATTACATAAGTGAGGAAACTGAGGCTGGAAGAGGTCATTGTTTGCTCCAGGTCACAAAGCAATGAGTGAAAGCCCAGGCAGCATCTCCTCTGAACGTGGGGAGCTGTTAGGCGAGATGTCTCCAAGACTGAGAGTAGGACTGAATGGAGTCTTCCCTAAAAATGCAGAATGTGGTAATAAAAATCTTTTTTTTTTTTTTTTTTTGAGATGGAGTCTTTCTGTCGCCCAGGCTGGAGTGCAGTGGCATGATCTCGGCTCACTGCAGCCTCCACCTCCCGGGTTCACATCATTCTTCTGCCTCAGCCTCCTGAGTAGCTGGGACTACAGGCACCGCCACCACGCCTGACTAACTTTTTATATTTTTAGTAGAGACGGGGTTTCACTGTGTTAGCCAGGATGGTCTCCATCTCCTGACCTCGTGATCCACCCGCCTCAGCCTCCCAAAGTGCTGGGATTACAGGCGTGAGCCACCATGCCTGGCCTTTAAAAATCTTTAATAGACTTACTGTTAGTGGGGAAACTGGGTAGTTTTTGCATGGAGGGAATTTAAATTAGAATAGTCTAAATACTCATATCGGCAATTTGCTAGAAGGCACCTCTGCCTTTATGTTGAATACCATTTCTGCTAGCTGCTTGCTAATTTAACTCTTTTTGGTCCTGGGTAGTGTGTATAAATTTTATTTTTATTTATATTTTTTGAGACGGAGTTTTGCTCTGTCGCCTGAGCTGGAGTTCAATGGCGCCATCTCGGCTCACTGCAACCTCCGCCTCCCAAAGTCAAGCGATTTTCCTGCCCTAACCTCCCGAGTAGCTGGAACTACAGATGCATGCCACCATGCCGGCTAATTTTTGTATTTTTAGTAGAGACAGGGTTTCACCATGTTGGCCAGGCTGGTCTCGAACTCCTGACCTCAGGTGATCCAGCTGCCTCGGCCTCCCACAGTGCTAGGATTCCAGGTGTGAGCCACCGCGCCCAGCTGTAAATTCTTTTAAAAATCTCTTAGGCTGCAAGTTGATGGTGAGATATTTATTGTAAAATGCACTACACAAAAGTCAAATCATAGTTTCTTGGGAAAGGGACTAAGGTAAGCAGACAGGGAAGTTAGAATATTGCTGTGAAATTTTTGTTTATATTTTTATTTTTTTGAGAGAGGGTCTTACTCTGTCACCCAGGCTGGATGCAGTGGTACAATCTGGGCTCACTGCAACCTCCACATGAGTGCCACTGTACCTGGCTAACTTTTGTATTTTTTGTAGAGACGGGGTTTTGCCATGTCACCCAGGCTGGTCTCAAATTCCTGAGCTCAAGCCATCTCCCTCCCTCAGCCTCTCAAAGTGCTGGGGATGGCCAGGCGCAATGGCTCACGTCTGTAATTTCAGCACTCTGGGAGGCTGAGGCAGATTGATCCCCTGAGGTCAGGAGTTTGAGACCAGCCTGACCAACATGATGAAACCCCGTCTCTACTGAAAATACAAAAATTAGCTGGGCGTGGTGACGGGGGCCTATAGTCCCAGCTACTGGGGAGGCTGAGGCAAGAAAATTGTATAAACCTGGGAGGCAGAGGTTGCAGTGAGCTGAGATTGCACCAGTGCACTCCAGCCTGGATGACAGAGTAAGACTCCATCTCAAAAAAAAAAAAAACAAAACAAAAAAAAATAAAATCAAACTGCTAGGGGTATTATAGGCATGAGCCACCATGCCAGGCCTTTATTTTTAATGGTGGTAAAATACATATAACAAAAAATGTACCATCTTCAGCATGTTAAGTTCAGTAATACTTTCATACGTTCACATTATTGTGCAACCCAATCTCTAGAACTTTATCATCATGCAAAACTGAAACCCAGCATTAAACCCTCACTCTCCCATTCCCCCTCTCCCCAGCCCCTGGCAGCATCCATCCCACTGTCTGTCTCTATGGTAGTTTGACTACTCCAGGGGCCTCTTATCAGTGCAATCCTTCAGTATTTGCCCTTTTGTGACTGGCTTAATGTCCTCCAGGTTCATCCATGTTGTAGCATACATTAGAATTTCCTTCCTTTTTAAGGTACTGAGTTTGAAAAGTGTTACTGTGTTTCTGACTCAGTGGGTGGGAAACTTAATTGGTTTCCCAAAGTAGATAGACTGTGTGAAGGTGTGAACTCTTCAGTGTATTATTGGCAGAAAGTGTCACCTGGGCCTCCTGCTCTAGTCACTCCCCTTTGCTACATCCATCTTTTTTCATCCCCTGATTCTAACAGTTATCCTGAGGACTTTCCCGAAATTTCCGGCTTCCAGTAAAACCCTAGTATCATTACAACTGTTACATCCCTCTTCTGTTACATTTTACCTGAAAGATACACTGAATTTTGGTTGCATTCTTATCCCTACTTTAAAGATCTGACCCCACAAATTTGTAATGTCAGCACGGAGTTTTGTGAAAGTTGAAAATTGCTTTTCTCAGTGAGGGGAAAAAAATTCCCCTAAACCAACCCTTTCTCCACTTGCAGTAATGATCTGTAAGAACTTTATCTTTGACTCCTCAACAGTTGTTTTTCTTGTTTGCCGCCTTACCTGCAGTTGTTAGCCATGCCTCACAGCACTGCCTTCTTACCCTATAGTTTTTAACTTACCAGATTTTGTATTATTGTGGGTTATTTGTGTGTCCCCATGTGATACAAAAGCTGTAGTTATTTTAAACAGTATCCTGCTCTGGAAGCAACCTCTTAGCTTGCTGTTTGCTTTGAGGCACAGATAGCCAAAGTAACTTGCCCAGGGTCATCCACCTGGTGAGTGTGGCCCCAAGCTAGGTTTAGGACCCAAGGCCACTACCTGTAGAGTGGCAGTCCGCAGATCCATCCCAGAAGCTGGGTGAGGCACCCATGCTGTGGATTCATACAGCCTTGTGCATGAGCCCTCGTTAACACGCACACCTAAAGTCATCACCTTCTCAGTGGATGCTTCCAGGGACTGCTGCTCCTGCCGGAAGGCACCAGATCTGTCTCTTCAGTGTTGTGCCCCCGCTGCCTTCCACCTAGTAGGCAAGCAGTAAATGTAGGCTGAATGAGTCAATGATGACATTGTTAGAAAGAAGCGAAAGAGGAAGATTAATTGGGTATACAGATAAAGGAAAGACATTTGGCATTTGTTGGGCACCTACTTGTGGTCGCTGTTTTATCTTTTCCATCACGCATTCCTAACAGCAATGCTAACAGTAGCACAACTGTGTTAACTGCAGTGCCATTTTACAGATGGACAAAACCGAGGCCCAAAGAGATTAGCAGGTTGTTGAACATTGGTATGTCTCCAAAGCCTGAGTTCTTTCCAGTATTTTGAAGTTTTTCAAATTATAAGTCACTGGAATTTTCTGGGAGACAAAGTGACTTACACCCATAGGGTAGTGCAGAGGGAGGTGAACACGCTGTTTTGTTTAGGGTCTAACTAGTAGGATTGACACAGGTATGTGGCGAGTAAGTGCTGAATACTGGAACCAGTGCTCAGGACATTTGGAGTTTCTTACCCCTCACACTGTGATCACTGTATCTT